AATATGTAAAATCTTGGGGAGGGTCAAAAATTACATGTCTACAGCTGCCCCTCGTATTTCCAGACAAAGAACGACTAGACAGGTTTTTTGGCCCGACCCTTATTTAGAGAGACCAAAAACTAAAAGAAAGGAGAATGTGACCGAGCACTGGTATCTGAACTGCCTACATATCCTTGGCTATAAAGGAATCAAGCCACGTGTAGTTCAAAAGTGAATGGGGGTGATAGAGTATATTGTGGTGGAGAGCCGGCCGAGGTGCCGTTCTGTCGACGTTCCGGTCCGCGGTCCTGTTATTACATCAAAATCAAAAAAATGAAAAAGACTAACTAAGCCTGTCAACTATGAGTTACAAGATTCCTATCTATAAGTCTTCTGAAGCTTGATCTTGAGTCTTGAATGGTTCTTCATGCAGACTTTAGATTTGAACCTTGACGCTAGCTAGCTGCAGGTACCAGTTCATTCTTCATCGGATCAAGACCGAACATGCAATGCTCGTGATTTCAGCCATGTCTTGAGCAGTTCACATCTTTCTCTACTTCTGCATTTTGGATTCACTTCTTTCTTTCTTTTTTTCCTTTCTTTTTTATTCTGGATTGTGACTAACTTCTGTTGATCATCTCGGACTGTCGACTCGCATTCTTACCGCGAGCTTCTGCTACTTCTAACTTGAATTGAATTCTGAAATGACTTCCTTGTTCTCCAGGTGGGCGCCTGATTACAGAAACTTGAACTGTATTCCCTTGTTCTCCAGGTGGGTGCCTGATTGCCAAAACTTGAACTGTATTCCCTTGTTCTCCAGGTGGGCGCCTGATTGCCAAAACTTGAACTGTATTCCCTTGTTCTCCAGGTGGGCGCCTGCCAAAACATGAACTGTATTCCCTTGTTCTCCAGGTGGGCGCCTGATTGCCAAAACTTGAACTGTATTCCCTTGTTCTCAAGGTGGGCGCCTGATTGCCGAAACTTGAACTGTATTCCCTTGTTCTCCAGGTGGGCGCCTGATTGCCAAAACTTGAACTGTATTCCCTTGTTCTCCAGGTGGGCGCCTGATTGCCGAAACTTGAACTGTATTCCCTTGTTCTCCAGGTGGGCGCCTGATTGCCAAAACTTGAACTGTATTCCCTTGTTCTCCAGGTGGGCGCCTGATTGCCAAAACTTGAATTGTATTCCCTTGTTCTCCAGGTGGGCGCCTGATTGCCAAAACTTGAACTGTATTCCCTTGTTTTCCATGTGGGCGCTTGATTGCCAAAACTTGAACTGTATTCCCTTGTTCTCTAGGTGGGGGCCTGATGCTTCGACTTGAAATGAATTCCCTTGTTTTCCAGGTGGGTGCTTGCAATCAAACAACAAAACAAACAAAATTTTCTGCCCAGTTTGCACTAGGAAGATTTGTGTGTTGTTAGCAAAACTGTAAACCACTTATGCTATCGATCTAATGATGAGAGTAAACTAAAGACTTGACTAGGAAGTGCGTCTCCTGTGAGTAAAACCAAGAAAATTTGACTAGCAAATGCATCTACTAAAAATAAAACCTGAATGACCCAGATTAGGAAGTGCGTCTCCTACTGGTGAAACTTGAATGAACCAAACTAGGAAGTGCATCTCCTAACGGGTAAAACTTTAATGATCCCAACTAGGACGTGCGTCTCCTGGAGATGAATTTAAATGACCAAAATTAGGAAGTGCGTCTCCTAAAATAAAATATAACTTGAAAGACCCAGACTAGGAAGTGCTTTTCCTAGGGGTGATGTGTGATCTTCTCAATAACCTTTGCGTAAGCGGAATTGGGGCAATTTCAAGCTTCCAAGCTTTGATTTGGCCATAGTTTTCGTTCATGTTTCAAATAAAGAAAACTTGTGAGTTTAAAACACGGTGGTTGGTTTGTGGCCTTGACCTTGAAGGCGGCTGCTCCTTCACTTGCCATGATAACTTTGATTTCAACTTGAAATACCTTGCTTGTTCATTGACTAACCACTTTCTCTGTCAACCCTTATCAATGAAAACACCTCTGATCCGTTCAAACCCCAAATCCCTCTATCTGGTGCATTGTGCTCAAACATATACCGAACCTTTGCATTTCAGATGAACCCCAAAGCACGTTGATTGTTACCAACTCAGTGCGCATACTGGTCTTTCCTGACTTATGCCACTTTGATGTGCTAGCCAAATTCCGTTTTGTGCAATTGGAAAGCTGGTAGCAAATTTTAATGTCATTTCTCACTTGTTCTAACCAAACAGACTCAAGAAAAGGAAGTAAACAAAACAAAAGGAACAGAGTAAGGGACAATGGAAAGAGATGATACCTAACAAGAAAATTACAAAGTAGAAACTTACAGATATGGATACCAACTCTAATGACCATGACATGCACTTTTGGATTAAGTGGCCTAACCTGTCAAGCAAGTCTAATGTTCAACTCTTGTTGTACCTCTGAGCCGTGAAATTGGGCTTCCATGCTCCGATTATCCTATCTGATTCATGGTCCTTATTCGACTTGTAGTGCCCGAAGGGTTTTCACCATCAAGCCTCTCTCATTTTGTTCTTTCTATCAACTTACCGTCGCCTTATGGTGCCTGTGAAGGTTTTCACCGATAAGACTCTCTCATTTTTTTTTTCTGATTCTACAGATGACAAGGCATTATCCATGATAGAAATATCATATGCTCCTGGCATGTCTGACTCGGCACTCTCAAAGATTATCTGGGAGGTCTTTTTTGGACTGTAATATGGCTTTTGGACAGGCTTAGAAAGAAGGGATATCATAAAGGCTCAAAATAACTAAGATAAACAAGGTTAATTTATATATAACTTTTGGAATCCATTCTAAAAACTTTGCCCCAATTTCTAAAACAAGGAAATTTGATTCTCTTTTTTTTTCTTTTTCTTTTTGAGATGGAATTTCTAAGAAAGACTGCCCCACTCTCGACTTCGTGGGATTATGAAATACTTTATTTGGTGCGACCGAACCTTGAGGTTGCCTACGTATCTTGTGGTGACAAGAATCAGGTCGAACGTAGTTCACAAGACTATTCTTTGTTGCTATTTTCCTTTTTCTTTTTCTTTTTCTTTTTCTTTTTTTTTCCTTTTTCTTTTTTTTCCTTCTTTTTTTTCTCTTTTTTTTTTTGTAATGAACTTTCTAAAATAAGCCTATGGGGACATGAACTTTTTTTTCCGTATGACTCTAACTTGATTCCAAAATAGGGGAGGTCAAAGAAATCAGTACATGCTCAAAAGGGTATCGAATGGTATAAGTGTTTGGGTAGCTGAAAGAGGGCCTCCCAATCCGTGAAAATGCCAAGTACAACACGTTCAACTTGAGAATGAAAAAGAAGATCATGCACAATATTTCTTTTACAGCTTCGGCACTGATATCACTAATATCCTTCCACTCTTTTTTTAGTGCCTTGTCAAGTACAAAGCTCTCGTTGGGTTTTTTCTTCTTCACAATGGATAACCTCCGTCTGCTTGGAGCAAAATCCCTTGGCTTTATCTTGTTACTTGAGATGCACTTGAACTCAAAGTTGCTCGCTTCAAATTGTCAGGGATCCACTCTCCTTTAACGAATTCTTGTCATCATATTAACTTCCCAAACCATCTGCCCCAGTTTCACACAATTCGGGCTTTAGGTGATCTCAAAATGCCTTTACTTATTTCCCTCAAATATCCCTATCATCTTCAAAATTGTTTCATTGCTTCATGCTGTTGACATGTGATTTTTGACCCTCCCCGAAATTTTACCCATTTTAGCATGTAAATATTTAGTTTAGGCCTAATATCGTCATTTCAACTAACTTTTACCATTTTACTTTATTTTATTACAAGAAAATGAAAAATTACAAAAAAATAGGTTTATTAATATTTTATAGTCATTTTTAATCTTAAAAAAAAATACAAAAATAGTACCCTATCTTTATTTTTATAATCTTGAAAACACAAAAAAAAAATAGTTTTATGTTTTATAGTCTAGTTCAATTAATTAAAATTAGTTTTATATTTTTATATTATAATTGTACATAATTTTAGAAGAAAGAATTAGTTTTAGGTCGGTTTATCCCGTTTTTATAAATCTTATATTCCATTTTTTTAGTCTTTGGCCCAAAATCCCTAACCCATAGTTCTTAGGCCCATACCCCTAACCTAATCCCTACCCTATATAATATTACCTATGCGAAAACACACCACATGCACAAAAAGAACGCCCAAAGCGAGAGACCCCTGCATAGAGAAAAACGACGTTCCTAGCTTTCATCTCTCTTTCTGAACCTAAAAAAAACAGAGATCAATGAAATACCTCCCTTCTTCTTCTTTTTCAGGCTCTCAAAAAATCACAGACTATATTCCCTTGTTNCTCAAAAAATCACAGATTAAAACGGAGAACAAAAACTCCCTCCTCTCAACAACTCCACTGCCCGCCGCCCATCTTCACCATTTTATACCCAAAAATGCCATAGTGACTTTGCAACTTTAGTTTGTTAAGCTTCGACAAGTCCAAAACTTTGGAGTCCTCCGTTTTATCAACAAAAAAAAATAACTGCTGAAAGCTTGAAGCAGAAATCATGGAGAGCCCATCGAAGCTGGATGATGAGCAATGGCTTGCTTATTGGATTTGGGTTTGAATTCGTTGGCTTGTTGTTGCTGAATTTCCATCGAAGCTGTGTTGCTGAGTTCCTGTTCAATTCCAGCCTTTATTTGGGTTTGTTTTTCTGCAAATTTCTCTTTTATTAGTGGATACTTGTTCAAGCTGTTAATCGGCGATTCTTCTGTCAGCAAATCGTGTCTTCTTCTCAAATTTGCCGTAATGTTCATATTTTACTTTGATTTTCTCTGTTTAACAGTCCATTTGTTTAACATGCGTATGGTATTGTTTTGGTTTTCTTTGTTAGGGTTGAAATGCGTGTTTGTTTGGGATTTACGTAACTGAACTAGAATTAGTCAACTGATTCATGAATTGGTGTGGTTTGATGCATTTTTGTGTGTTTTGTGTTTAAACTACAAAAAGCTTGCTAGGAATTTGCTTCAATGGTTATTGCAATCTTTTTCTCTGTTGAAGCCACTGAATTATAAAGGAAAGAAAAAAAAAAATTATTTTACATATATCCAATATAAGCGTGTGATTGTCCCAAAATAGAATAAAGCAAAAAGGGGATTTGCGAGGTGTGCATGTCGTTTTTTTTCCTTGTGATTTCTTTTATGATATAATAAGATCTTGTTTAGTTGTTTATTAAGTTGACAATTCTATAACTTCTGTTTGTTGAAGCTTTCAAATATAGGCCTCGTTGGTTTACTTAAAACCAATAAATTTGTTCAAATGGTTGAATGTTGTCTCCTTGTACCATGTTAAGTAAGATATAGTCTATGGCCCTCAAGAGCTTAGTCCGAACTTCCTTTAATTTTAGAAATTCGGGACATGCCATTTAGCGAATTTTCATGGCTTCCCGCAAAGTTAATAAGACGCTAGCCACTTTAGGCGCGCTTTTAATAATTTTACCTTCTTAAATACGGGTGTGCATTTCATGCTACCCAAATCCAAATCCCAAAACGTTGANGGATCTTCAGGCAGGAGGGGATTTTGCTTCCAAGTCTCGTCGATGTATTCAAGTATGACTAATGATTCTGCAATAGGTTTCCCATTATGAACCAGAACTGGAATCTTTTTATGAACTGGATTATACTGCAAGAGCAAAAGACTTTTGTTTGGGAGATGTTCTTCTTGGTAATCATATTCAATCCCTTTAAGTTTCAGAGCCCAATGAACCCTTAGAGAAAAAGGGCTTGCCCAGTATCCAAGCAATTTCACTCCCTCACCTGCCATTTGCTGATTCTTGCTTTGCAGAGGCTACTGAACTCTCTTGTTATATAGAGGTACAATTCTTGCTATGCAAACCAAAAGGGGCCAAGGCTGCTGCCAAATGTTGATATATTACAAGTCTTTGAGGTAATTATGTGTGAAATAGTGAAGGCACTTTAAATGGAAAAACTCTCTTATACATTATCCTTCGGGGTAGGTGTGTAAAAAGGAGGTGTGACACATGCTTAAACTAACTTTTAAGACCAGGCCTAGAATTATGCGAGCGTGTCATGTCACTAGAGCCAGCATGAAAAGAACTATAAAAGGAAAATAGAACTAAACAAAAATGACTATAAATAACAGAAAACAGAAAATTGCATTAGACAGACGGTGAAAGAGTTTGAACAACAAAGCAAGCAAAATAAACTGGGGTTACTACCCTGGAACAAACCTGGATAACACTAAATGAGTTACTACGACTAAGGGACTAGGCAAATAAAGGATAGAAGGTTTGAGTCTCAAGACAATATCCGGATTACAACCTTGAAATAACCCAGACAACAGAAATGACAACAAAATAAACCACCCAGACTAAAGGAGTGTCTTTCCAATTACCAAGCTCGGCATCTTAGCCACTGAGTTCCGCATCAACAGTACTAGGACCATTACCAATTTCAATATCATTAACTTCAGTCAGCAAGTTCCCAAGAGGACTCTTATATTCCCTGTCGCCACACATCATCCCTACAAAGTGTGCATCATCATGTGCAGGTAAAGCATTCTGCGCGATATTCAGGGTGTCACTGTCTTGGATTACAATTATCCCTTCTTGAATCATTCTTTCTATTTCCCTTTTCAAAGCATGACAATCTTCAATGTTATTCCCTTGGACGTTAGAGTGGTACATGCATTGTACAGTAGGACCAAAACCCTTTGCATATGGGTCTGGAGTATAGCCGAGGAGCGGCTCAATCAGGCCAGAATGCTTTAACTTTTCAAACAAGCTTGTGTAGGACTCCCCGATTGGCATGAAACTATTTCTTTGCCTTTGTTCCCCTCCCTGCCCCTGTTTTCTAGGATTGTTGGGTGCTCAAAAATATTGTGAAGGCAAGAATGCATTATGCGGTGCTGGTGCTCGCCATAGGGAGTGACCTGGTGGTTGGACAGATGACCGGACATTGTTCGAAGGATAACACCGAGGTGGATTATGTGGAGCTCGGGGATAGGTTTGGGGTTGGGGTTGAGGCTCAGTATATTGATGAGGAGGATCCGTCGGACCATGTCGTGATCCTGAGACAACCATGGCAACATCAACATGTTCCTTCTGACCCAGCAAGCTTCCTGTGTCGTTTTGAATTGCTTGTGTTGTGGCTTTTAAAGCAGAATAGCTCATGATCTTGCTCAACTTTAGCCAATCTTCTACAATTTCTCCTATTTTTACCACATCATTAAGAGGCCTACCCACAGTCGAGATCAGATGCCCAAAGTAAGTTGGCTCTTGAGCTTAAAGAAAGTACTCGACCATCTCATTTTCTTCCATCGGGGGATTGACTCTGGCAGCTTGCTTTCTGTATCTGAGCCCGTATTCCCTAAAGCTTTCATTAGGCTTATTTTCCATCTTGGTGAGGGACATGCGATCTGGTACAATTTCTATATTATACTGAAAGTGCTGGGCAAAGGCCTGAGCCATATCGTCCCATGTGTACCACCTGCTAGCGTCTTGGCGGGTGTACCACTCCAGAGCTGCCCCACTCAGACTCTGACTGAAATACGCCATCAATAATTTGTCCTTCCCACTGGCGCCTCTCATCTTACTGCAGTAGCCTCTCAGATGGGCCACGGGATCTCCATGTCCGTCATACAAATCAAACTTCGGCATCTTAAACCCAGCAGGCAGTTGGATGTCAGGAAACAAGCACAAGTCTTTGTAATCCACGCTCATCTGGCTCCCTATCCCTTGCATGTTTCTTAAAGACTGCTCTAAGATTTTCACTTTCCTGGATATCTCATCTTGCTCCACTGTCTTAGCAGGATTTTCAGTTTTACCGGGAGGCTCAAAATGAGGAGCGTGAGAATATGGATCTGAGACTTTGAAAGTTGGTTCTGGAGCATAGTGTTGGGCATCGAGGACTTTGAACACAGTCTCGTTAGAGGATCGAGGAAAAGTAGCTAGAGGAGGAGCTACAAGAGCATGAGTGGCCAAAGGAGCGGGATATAAGGTGGTTTTCGCGGGTAGAGTGTGAAAAGGTTGTGGGGAGATATCAGCAGCAGTGGGAATCTGGATTTGTGATAGCGGTGGGATAGTTGCAGGGTTTTCAGTGTAGTTAGCAGGGAATGAAGGTGGAGGATGCCCCCTGATCCAAGACTGATACATTTCTGCCATCTGCTGTTTCAACATTTGGACCTCCCCTTTCAATTCAGACTCCGACTCCACAAATTCCCTCGACGGGTCAACAACTCTTGTGTCCAAGTCTTTGCTAGCCATGGCTACCTTGCTCTTTGACCTTGTGTTGTATGGATGAGTTACTAGTTTAAGAACCACAAACCAACCACCCTTATGCTATAATGAAGATAACAAAGAGGAACAAAATGAAGTCAACATGTTAGCGTTACAGCATTTAACATCTAAAAATATCACATTGCGTGCAATGCACCTAACAAAAATTAACGGTTCAAGAATGACTTAGAGGGTCATAAGGTCACTTGGCATCATCCCAATTTGTTCATTTCAATCTTCTCTTTTCTTTTCTTTTCTAGCACTTTTTGGCTTGCTCATTTTCCTTCCTCTTTTTTTCTAATTATCGCTCTTTTCTTTCCTCTCATTTCTCACATCCCATAATTTCATCCTCTCTTTTTTTCTCGTTTTTTTTTATTTTTTTAAAGAGAAAATGATTCGATCGAGCCCTATGTAGGTTTCCTACGTATCATGACGCCGCATGAATCAGATCTTTGCGTAGTTCGGGAAAAGTAATGGATAAATTAAACTAACTAAAAAAAATATTTTTGGATTATTCATTATAACTTTTTTTTATTTTCAAATACAAAACAGGAAATATGATAACAAGAGACTCAACTCAACTATACTACGACAAATTCAGACACCAACTAAAAGAACCATTACTACTGGACATGACTATAAAATACAAGACAACATAAAAGAAACAGACTCAAAACATAAAAAAAATCTCCTTAAGCAACTCCTGGATGCAACGGTCCTGACCAGCTGGTCCCGGGGTGTCTGTCATGCTCAAACTCCGGTAAGTAGATCCACACCTGTATGAGAAAACTAAAACCAAATAGAGTTAAGGATTTAGAACACTATTTGAGACAATAACATTTCCTATGGGACACATGCAAGACATGATTGAGGCTATTTTTGCAAAATTGCTTATGTGGCCAAAAGGTGGCTAGAAGTGCAAACTCAACAAAAGACCTTTAAGACATGGAAAAATTACTTTGCAGAAATGACCCATTTTATAAAAATGGCCTATGTGGACAAAAGATGGCTAGGCATGCAAATTCAACACAATGGACCTTAAATAGAGAGAACATTTTGTTGTGGACTTAGAACTTTAAGACATGGGTGACTGAACCACTTTTTTGCGAAAACGACCCCATTTTGCAAGAACGGCCGATGTGGCCAAAAGCGGCTAGACATGCAAATTCAACAATGATGCGCCTTAAAGTAAAGAGACACCTAATTGTGGATTGAAGACTCTCCAGACATAATTAAACAAGCCACTTTGCGAAAATAACCCTATTTTGCAAAACAGCCGATGTGGCCAAAAGTGGCTAGACATGCAAGATTTGGCTACGACCTCGCGAAGCCAAGAACCTAAGGCTCACTAGGAAGACCGGACCCTATGTGGGTTGCCTACGTATCACGCCCCGAAAGACGAGAATCAGGTATGCATAGTTCGGGCAGATTGGATACGGGCGAGAATAAAAAAAAAAACTAATTTAGAGAAAATATATTTTTTGTCTTTTGTTTTGAAAAATGATGAAACATGTAAACTCTTTTTGTATTTTTCTTTTTCTCTTATTTGATTTTTTTTTTTTGAAAAACAATGATGGCAAAGTGCAAAATCTTTTTGGATTTTTTTTCATTTTCAATTTTTTGGTCTTTTCTTGAAAAAGCGTGAAAGAAAATTATAATTGGGCCCTACTTGCTTTATTTTTACACTTCACCCTTTTTTTCATTTATCCTCAACCCTCATAGGTCCGCAAAATGACCCTTTTACCCTTGACGAATGGAACATGTAGCACATAAGATGCATCCGGATGGTCTTCTATTTTTGGGTACACTTGTCCTAGACGGACCCAACCCCTGTGTTGAATCCCCTAAGTCAAATGCACATGATGCAAATAAGCGTTCCTACTAGGGATCCGGCATGAGGCTAAGTTATTCTAGGTTTAAAACCTGGGTATATTGTTCTAGACTTGGTGTACCCGAGCGGACAACTCGAGCCGAGGGGGGGCTACATACCGGGAACCAAAAGGCCATCCAGCTTTGTAACTTGTCCGAACCTCTTTCTAAATTAGGGTATGACACTAACAGAAAAGAAGTCACACCACCGTGCACTTCCCCGAAGATGAGAAGAGAAGGGTTTCGTAGCAGTTTATATACAGTTCAAATAATATCAGAGCGGTAAAAAGCGGCAGTTAACACATTAGGCCCAAGCATATGATAAGAATCAGATAATAAATAAAAGCAAAATATAACAATTATTCTAAGCTCGAATTCTTGAACCCTAAACTAGAGATTCTGGGTTCTTTTCCCCAGCAGAGTCGCCAGAGCTGTCACACCTCCTTTTTCTACCCTAGAAAGGGTATAGGGGAGTTTTTCCAATTAAAGTGACAATAATCGAAACGGGATTATTTATTCAAATTCAGAGTCGCCACTTGGTATAATTTATGGTGTCCCAAGTCACTGGTTTAGAATCCCGAGTCGAGGAAGTTTGACTCTATTTTACAGTCCGCGAAACACAGAAATCCGGGTAAGAAATTCTGTTAACCCGGGAGAA